ATTCACTTAACAACAATGGCAAGGAAGTTCATAAAATGAGGCAAAACTCACTTAACAAATGTCTCACTTAACAGAAATGTTGGAGTCAATTGTGGTCATAAGTCGAGGACTACCTGTATATCATAGAGACTGTTTTTCAAGGAGGTATAGTCAATTCAGTATTTGGAATTAACACTATTCTATGCCACTTTTGGAGGGTAGGAAGCCTAACTCACCCAAAAGACTTCATTTGGTTGCCTTTTTGTTACACAATACAGACTGGCTGCATTAAAATTTTCATTTAGCTGACTTCAATTTTTTTTAAAATATGACAGTATTTTATGAAATATGCTAAACTGTTTGCTTCTTGAGATTTATGCATGTTAGCAAAACTCCTTCTACAGTAAATCAACAGAAACATTTACCCATATTTGTGTTTCCATTTGAGTGTGATTATTAGGCAGATCTTCAAAATTCTCCTAGATGTTATTTTCCAGCTATGCAACTGTTGTAGGAGCCAAATTGCTTCTTTTAAATACCTTTGGTTTGAAAAATGTAGGGCATAAAGAGAAGACATACTACATTTTGCTAAACACAGTATATTGTAAATCTCTAACTTCTACAACTATCCATGCTTCTTTCTTATTCTGCCAAGCTGTAATAGTCTTGTTTAAAATGCATGGAAGATTACAGACCATCACACAAAGGGCTTAATCTATGGATAAATATTCATAGTTTATTAAGCTTCAGGGAATGCATGAAGCTGTTTAAGGCATATATGGAAGAGTAATGTCACAATAGAATCTGCATCTGGGGAAAACATGGTTATTGCAAGTTAGGAAATTAGTTTGACTTGAGTGTTTTTGATGTGCAACTAATAGAATGTGAATTCCATGCTGCTGCTTATTTAGCAATGGAAAGACTGCCTTTAGGCTGACAGAAGGGGTGTGAGCAAGAAGATGTCCCAACATGTATTAGAGACTGCTTCAACTGAAAATGCAAATTAGACACATATGGATTCATTTGGGATTTATTCTATGTGCATATGTACTTTTGCATCAAACATATACATCTAGGAAATCCCAGATTTTTTCATAGACTTGCAGGTTACTTTGTTTTTTTTTTTAGTAGGGAACTACCTTCCTCTTTTAATTAGCAATAGGAAAGACCAGGCTGGCTGGTCTTCTCTGGTTACTGTTGCTCCCGTTCCTGTTTCATGCAGGATTTAGGGATGGTAATTAATACCATGTGCACTCATTGTGAGGAATGGCTGTTTTTAATAAGAATTAACAACGAATTTCCTCCAATAATTCTCTCCTGAAAAACATCAATCCAGTCCTGTTTTCCTATTCTTGCTTGTTTTGGCAAAGATACAACTTTTCCATTAAACTCTTTGATAGCATGGGTAGAGCACAACTTCATTTTGCCATTTCTAGGGGAAGCAGAAATTGAAATACAGAGCTAAAAGAGAGATCTTCAGTCAATGCAACAATCCTGCCTTTCCCACTTGATAGCTTCCACACTGAAGCCTATTATGGAACCATTTTATCTCATAGGAAGCAGCAGCATATACCTTGCTTAGTGAAAAGCATAGGCTAGGGCCTGTCTACAATGATCTCCAATAGAAATAAATGTTCAGAAAAGTTCCTGTTTATAAAACAGTTCATCATTTAAATCAATAACTGATTCTGCAAAGTGGTTTCATGCTGTTTTAGCAAGGGGCGTGCCATTATGTGCTCAGCTTTATCACCACTCCCTATTCCAGTTTTCCCTCATGTTCAGACATTTCTTTTTATGAGGATCCTCCTCCCCAGGTCAGATGTATACATTATTAATGAAGGAAATTGCATTATCTCACAAATCAGACAAAGGGGGTATTGAGGGATGTTTATTTCAGTCTAAGTTCTGAAGCCTGGGGCACAGAATCTTTGCATTCTGCTCTTCAGCTGGCCTCTGGTGGGTTAGCTCAGATTTCAGCTGCAGTATGATTACTTCAGCAGTCAGTGCATCTATGCCATTTGCTAAAGAGATGGTGGCACTGGTCGGGTTTGTGTGTTTGGCCTTTGATGCCCTACCCTGATTGCTTTCTCTTGTTCATGGTGACTCTGCTGATCCATACCAACTGCTGTTGCTTCAATATATAGTGTTATGCCAGGGAATAGATAGCATTTACTGGTGATGTGGCTTCTGAGCTCTCATTGCCTTCTGTCTCCTCTTTGTCCTTCTTAACTGTGTACTGGCCAATAAAGGATCCATCTTCATTGAACTGTCCTTCACCTCCTTCTCCATAGTCCACCAAGCTGTCATCACTTTCTTGTTGCTTTATTGTGCCATCTAAGGAGGTCTGACTGCCTTGCAGAGGCTTGTTGTCTTCATCACTGACATTAAAAGGAAAAGGAGAGGCATCAGAAATGAGAAAATATGGTTTAAAAGACAAGCATAACCATAGAATTTGAAAGCAGTGTCCGAATGATGATACACAAAAAGGCAACAATTGTGCATAAAGATCTAGGAAAATATGGTGAGATGTTTGTAAATACAGATGCCTGGAAATATTTAAGGGCAAAAAGTAACATTTCCCAAAGAACCTACATAAATTAGGAGAAGGAAATCCCTAAGTGTTATGATAAGGGAAAGTAATCTTGAAAAGCCAAAAACATAAAAGTTAGCAAGCCATATAGGAGAATAATATATCACAGTTCTGAGCGTTCTAGTTTATATATTTCATCAAAGATATACTTGATCCAAAGTGCACTCACTGACAAGTTAGTTGAAAGTGTTTCAGTAGATCTAAAGAGGACAGAAGTCTTTTTAGCTTCATTTTGGTCATTTCATATGAATGCAATTTTTAAAAAATGATGCAGGCCTGATCTCAAAAAAAAAAGAAAGAAAAGAAAGAAAAGAAAAAAAAAGAAGATTATGCAATGTCTTAAGTCAAAACCTTGTTAATTGTACACCAGGACACCACCAGAAAAGCTCAGGACTGTAGGAACTAAATTGAAAACTTTAAAAAAATGGCAAAGACAAATGTTGACCATATTGGCATCAAGAAAATGCATTAATATATAGTAATCAAGTTCAGCTTAAGGGAATACTTACTCTTAATAGACATATAACAACATTTCTCTTTGCCACCTTGAGAAAGCTTCTGCAAAATTTGTAAGATGGGTTAACTATTTTGAGTCTTTTTAAAAAAGATGAAAGAGACTCCCAGGACTAAGTCTTGTTGATAGTTATGAATCCTGAGGATAGTGAAATTTGGATCTGATTGCCAAAATGCATTTTAAAGTGCACAGAAGTGTGAACACAGCACTTCTCTGCAACACCTTAAAGTAGCTACATTTTCCTCAGGGTACTATAGCTGTCCTCTCTAGGCACTGCACAATCTCAAGAAAAGATATGATTGCTTTCAGAGTTGCAGACTGATTTTTCATGCATTTTCTCTCTTCCAGAGGCATGACCAACAACCCTGCACTCTAACACTTTTTGTCTTTAAGTCTGAAGTGCTGAAAGGCTTTGCTGGATACTCATGTGAGAGGTATTCCTTTAATTGTTTGCAAGTTGTGCAAATATTAATAGCTATATTAACATCACAAATGACTTTTGGTTTCCAGTATTGCCATTTCATTGCTTTTTTCAATCTGTCCAATAGATCGGTACTATAATATTGAAAGTTACATCTTGCTCTGATGTGATCTGAATTGCCAGCAGATAAATAATCATTCTAGGTTACTTGCAGTCCCAGGTACAACGTTCTTTATTGAAATGAGAAGAGGAATTTATTTTTCTTCTGGAAGGAGCCAATGTTCAAAAATGCATACATATTGCTTTTGAATATCTTAATAAACTGCAAACATCATGTTTTGCAAATGTGGATTAACATGCTTGTAATGGCACAAGTTAATTTCATTATCAGGGTTTGGGCAAGTAATTGAACCCAAGGAAAGAGGAGCTTTGAGACAGAATGATTTAGCATTATATAAGAAGGCATAAAGACAAGAACAGCAAAAGCCACAGATGCTAGAGGTCTTTGTTTTCAAGTTAAAACAAGTATTTAAATAAAATGTAATTGCAATGAAAATTTTCCCCTTCCATATTTAATGGCAGTAAAGTTTTCAAGGGATTTCCTATTTTGATCTCCCAAAGCCTGGATTCCAGAGAACCACACAGCAATGTATGCTGTATGGAGTCGTTTGTTTTTGTCTTCTTCCATAAAGTCATCCCATCCTTATTCTAGAGGACTGCTATTGAAAAGCAGATGTAAGAAATGCTGTTTGACATGCCCCAAATACTCTGATGTTCTGCACATGGCTCTCTGGACTGCAAGCCAAAAAAGTAACCATACTGCCTTGTTAATACGTTAGGAAAATAAGTGCACTCAGCCTTTAATGCACAAATACAATGTACTTACTAAATAAATCCTGCAGCTTATTTAATATATTAAATACAGTCAGCCAAGCCACAAGTGAAATTGGTTTAGGAGCATCATGTTCAAGAGTTGCATTACATTGGAAGGAATCATTTGTGAGTGAAAGATCTTCATTCTGAACTTTCTGAACTGCTGGCTTCTTCTTGACCATGCTTCTTTTGTTTTAACACCCAGTAAGTGAAATCAGTTATACTTGCTTTTAAAATACCAGTAGCTTACCAGATAATATGGAACTACTCAAAGTCTCTAATCCAGTAGACCCTTTTTCATGACAATAATCACCACTCAAGTGTGCAGATTCCCATTGCACATATAAATATTAGTCAAGAAAAAGGAATGAAGCTAGGGCCACTGTAATGTCATTGGATATGATGTTGGCTCTCAATCTAGAGCCAGAATGCAACTCTATGGACACAGGACACCTGAATCTCAGAATAAGAAAGAAATTACTCTTTAATTCTGTTAGATGAAAACCGCTGGAACAGAAACATGGAAGGGAGTTAGAAATTAGATATGCTTAACAATGGTGAAAGAAAGTATGTGCAAGGGTTTGGGTCATTCCTACCTTTCAAGAGACCTTCATGGTCCATGTAGAAGGATAAGGTGAAAATGACAAGAACAGATGAAAATAAAACAAGGAAAGAAGCAAAAAGAGCCTGATCAGAGAGCAAAATAATATAGATTTGAATTTTAGGGATCAATGCTAAATAAATAATAATAGTAGTAAATAATTATTTCTTTCTGGAAGGGCTAAGCATCTTAAAGTACCAAATGAAAGCCAATTTAAAACACAAACTGCTAATTGTGTACAATAACATAAAAAAACTAGTTGTTGATAAATGTCAATGATACCCCACTCCCTCCTCATGTGGGCACTCTCAAACCTGAGCATGGTGGCAGGCTCTCACTGCCACCCCAGACATGTCCCCATTCTAGCACTTCTACTCCAACTAAACAAACCATTATATCTAAAGGCTTTAATCAGTCACATTCTCTCAGAGATGTAAAACAAAACATGGTCTTGCAAAAAAAAAAAAAAAAAAGGTCTCAGCCTTAGATAAAAATAGACCAAAGAGGAAGGAGGATGAAAAAGAAATATGTGCTGGAGTTTCCTACATGGAGAGAGTTTAAGATGAGCAGATTGGAAGGGAAGTATATATCATAGGTCTAGAGGGGAAAGCTCACCTCTTTTGTATATTCACATAGAAATTTGCTCATATACAAATAAAGTGGTAAACAGGAAAAAAGCACATTAGTTGTTTTTTAGAACATTTTCGTTGAGTTCTAGACAGACTCTCCATCTTCCTTTAAAGAAAACAGGAATGATTAGCATTATGAGGAGGAAGAGTCCTGAAAATTAAGTAACAGATCTTATCAGAATATTTCCATCTAGGTGCCCAAAAGTAATAACAAAAATCATTGGAGTGCAGAAATGCTATCTTGAGTTCATATGAAATCACTTATCAACAATCAGGAAACAAAAGAGATTGGGTGAAAATAAGTCCTCTAGCCTTTAATAAGCAATGCTAATGTTCTGGCTTCACTATCACCATTCACTATCACCATTATTTTCTATGTCTTGAAATTGGCGCTGCAACTGAAAATACCAGGATTAGGCTGATTTGGAGCCTGGCAGAGATATACTGTATTAAAATATGAAGAGTGAAAGGAGAAGGAAGACTGGAACAAGTACAATGGGTATAATATTTTAGTTGTTCCCTTTCCTTTTCTCTCTCTCTCCCTCTCTCTTGTCAAATGTTTAATAGAATGAGCGCTATTAATGGCTAAAGATTTTATAGTTTATTCCTCTTGTAAGGAGACTATTAGTCTGGCAGCAGAGTAGAAAGAAATGACAGTATATCCCTTAATTATAGCCTGTAGCCATTGGCATGCTCTATGCATACACTTTTACAGCTCTGAAGGACATGATTAGAGTGTGTCAGACATATTTCTGTAAATTAGGAAGAGAACAAATAAAGAAAACATGCCAGCTTATATCCTGTTCACTTTAAAAAGCTATCTGTCACATCTCAATGGCCATGAATCTTAATTAGCCACATTTTTCTGTCAGCTAGTCATTTTCTCTTTTATTCTGATTTCTTGTGATGTGTCAGTTCTTTAATACCCTGCATTAAGTTGTGCAGCCATGTTTTGGGAAAAAAACACTGAAAAGCTTTTTTTCCAGGGCTCCAGTGGAAGAAAGCATAATATTTTATATCACAGCTTTTTTTTCTCTTGCACATATAACACTGATATTTGTAAAATAAAATGATTCAGCCAGTTCACTGCTATAGATCAATATTCAACTCAGCCCAGATTTTACTGTTAAAGAAAGATTCCTAATAATCAGGAAAAACAAAAACAATCATAAAAATACTTCAGTAATTAGTCAAGACAGGCAGTTCTTGATGTTAAGAACTGGTTCTATGTCACTGACCCAATCTTTATTCTGCCATAAACTGAAGCTACAATGTTGTACTTTATCCACGTGCATTTTTTTCAAGAATATTTTATTCTTTTTTTTTAAGAAGCAAGATAACATCACTTGCAAGTTTAACTATGTTTTGGAAAGAAGATGGTTAAGTTAGAGTACTTCTGCTGATGAAATTGGACCTTTCTTCACTCTCATATTTTGTCGTGTACAATTCTGATACAAGGAATCCTTTGACACACACAAACACACACTCCACGAGTAGATTTGGAATATGTACAGGGAAAATGTAGGTTTTAATAATATGTTTCCATCAGCAGAATAACATAACTATATTCAGCTCTAGCTGAAGAGGAAGACTACAATGTGGCTTTTTTCCCACAGTAAAAAAAAAAAACGAAAAAGAAGAATAGGGGCTATCCATGTCCTCTAGAAATTTTACTTATTCATTCCATTAATATCCTGTTGTAACCAATTAACTGCTGGTGATTTGCATGATATAAAGAGTTTAAAACATCCAAATGAATATTAAAAATAAAACAGTTAAAACCAAGCAAATCATAACTAAAAATATTCCCTATCAGCAACTGAGACTGAGAAGCATGATACAGTATTCACATTGCTAAATACTCCTGCAAAGTGAGGATTCCTCTCAGGGTCAACCTTTTTGATGGCTGGTATTAAGGAATCTTTATCCACACTTCATCCGTTTTGTGCTACGGTGTCCTTTGCTATAATGTAACATTATATTTGCAACTTTCATTTGTTCACATCTCATGAGTCAAGATAGTGTCTTTCAGGTTAACTAAGAATACTTGAGTATACTTTCATCTAGGTAATTCATTAATGGTTTATAGTGTTTCCCAGATTTACTCAATCTACTAAATGGACCCAAAATAGTTTTTATTTTGCTTTAAGTAGCCTGAAGAATTCTTAATCATAATATATTTTGGAATTGTAACTTCACTGTTTAAAACCAACCCTGGAAGGGAACAAGTTTGGAATGGCCGTTATTAGAGCAACTCTAATAACGGCCAACATAGCTATCAAATTAACCAAGTAGTTTAATTAATATGATTTGGCACTACAAGATTTACACACTGCTGTTTTTTCAAAGTCCTGTAGGCAATTCTCTATACAGCTTCATATTACACAGTGCCAGACCTTGTACTGCAATTTTAATAAAGCCTTTTTATCATTTTTATTCTTGTTAGTTATAAAATAAGAGTACTGAAATTGTGAGGATAGCAATTGTATTTTGAATAAATCATCCTACAGTTTTAGAATAGCTGGACATTTATTTTTGTTTGCTTGTTTGTTTGTTTGTTTTAATAGCAAGCAAGGGACTGAAGCACCAAATTACACAGACTCACAATGTATGGTTAATTTAGCAAGTGGTAGCAGTGTTACCTGTTTCAGTTCCTTGGAAGTAAAGGTGAAACAAATGTAAACCTTGAATGCAGGACCCATCTGTGAACAGCCAAAGAACACACTTTTGCTTTGAAAAATCAAGAGAAAAAGTGGCTGTGGTCCTTAAAAAGATGTCTTTGATTTATATGAAGTAGTGATGGTGTTGGAAGTTATAACACCATAATTGTCAGAAAGATTTAATATGCTCCATAGAGGCTATCAACATATCCTTCAGTAAATCAGAAATATGAAGCTTCTCACTGGTTTTTAGAAATGTAGGCTTATTCTTCCTAAGAAATAACCTACTGGCTGTTTATTCTTCCCATTTCTGGGGTGGACTAGCAGAAGGAGCCACATGTTTTTACTTATGTCTGGTTTTGCACTACAGACCAAAAAAGATTCTGGAAATTGCTAATTCTCCAACAGTGCCTATCTTTCTTATCTGATGTAATGATCCCCACTCAATAGAGCTCATTATTCAATATTCAGAAGTGATTAAATTCTCAATAAGAACACTATGTTATCCTTTCAGATTTCAAAAGGTATTGGAACCGATCTACGTGTATAGATAAATCAGATGATACAAAATTATTGGAACTACATTACTGAGTCAGATAATGAAAGATTAAATTTCATGTATATTTGTATGACTCAGCCTAGATTTCCATCCTTCATGAGGATGATTCTGATGTGCAGAAATATATCTCTATGTTTATGCATGTGTTTTTATATATATACCTACATATCTTTTACTCATAGCCTTCAGTGGACCAATTTTAAAAATACTGATTTCATTTTTATATTTTTTGAATACATAGACTGGTTCTTCTTTTGACAGAGATTTTAAACAACACTGGAAGGACAAAGAAGAGTAAAATGTAAATTCATGACAATGAAATTAGAAAGGAGTTATTTGTAATGGCAAGCAGATAGCAAATGCCTGATATACATGTTGAGTAAGAAACATACCTGTAATCAAATGATCCATTATCTACCTTCTGGTCATCAGGATCCAGGGGCACATCTTTATTTGCTCGCACTGTGAAGATATATGTAAACAATTAAAAACTCAAAAGGATTGATCCAATCTCCACATTTTGTAGACTCCAAGCCTGAATGCCTCAGTGCCAAAGTCCATGATGCATCAAATCAAGGAGTTTGATGCTGATCAATCTTGTGGACACCAAAAGGAAAGCTAAAGCTTCTGCCTTAGCCAGTTACAATGGTACTTATATAGCTTTGGGTCATTTTCCTCAATAAATCAATGAACAAGTATAATGTTTTTAATTCATTTGTTTAATGGGCTTCTCTTTAGCTAGTGTTATGATATATGGAGAACAGATCATATTTTAGATTTATTTCTGGGGAATAAAGATATGTATTATTCTTTCCAGCTGACTAGTGATGTTCCATGTACAGCAGAATGATATTGACACTGAGCAATGAATGTTATGTAATTTCCACATCATAACAATTTTATTCAACTTTCAAGAAATACTTCAAGAAATTTCTAGACTTAGGGAGAAAATATGGCAATCTTCATACAACCATAATACATTGTCCAAAATAATACAGGGAGACATAAACTACCGGTATTAAGACATCTTTCCATATAAATAAACATTGTATTTAAATATTATTTCAATGTGTATCCTGACTATATTGCAATGTGCTATCTAGAGGCTGCCTCTGGTCCAGAATGTGGCAACTCAGTCAGTTATGGGTACAGTATATCTCAGCACTTCCATGTAATACATCTGTTCTGTAAGTTGCAATGATTTCTGGATACAAGTAAAGATGCTGGTTGTGACCTGTGAAGCCCTTTATGGCACCACTTCTCTCTCATTGTTTTGTCCATTTGGTAAATCCAACAAGGGGACAAGTTCCAGGTTCCATCACTAAAACAGAATCATCTGATGTGACCAAGAGGCAGGCATCCTCCATCACAGAGCCTGTCCTTTCCAATAATCTCACCTTAGAAGTTTGCTAGTCTGAGTCCTACTGTTTTTAAAATGGGTGCTGAAGATCTGCTTCTTTCCCTAGTTAATAAGTTACGGGGATATGTGCTTTTAAGGGATCTATGCTTTTTGTATGAATATGTTGGCTATGTCCATTCCTATGTTTGTCTTGTCCGTTGCATTGGGTGTGCTTTTAATTTATATGCCATCCAGAAGTATTATGACTAGGTAAGCCTTAAAAATTGATTTCTAAATAAACAAAGAAATAAAAAGTAATAAAAGCTAGCTACTTAAGATGCTAAACGTTGATACCAAATATAAAAGAATGAAAAGAGTAGTTAAAATGATTCATTCAACTCAAAATCAGAGGAAAAAAAGGAAGGATTCCTTTCCCAAAGGGAGAACATGTTAATAATACTTTTCCAGAAAATAAGCTAACAGTTTTATAACCAACATAAATTCAATCAAATCTTAATGTAAATAATGAAATAAAGCATCCCTATCTAGCAAGAAATCCCCTTTACCCTGTTTTGATAACATTAATTCTTTTTTAGTGTCCCAGTTGTTCAGTGGTTATGGGAATAAATCTTTTCAGTGCTTTCAGATTAGAAAAATTAATTAGATTCAGAATTATTTATTTCAAAATAAATCAAACAAAGAGCCTTATATCAATGATAGCTATTTCTCTTACCTGGATATTTTCCTCCTCTGCTCCTCTTAATAAAGCAAACTATCAGCAAAATCAGGACCAGGAGAGCGATGGCACACATCAGTCCAATAAACCAGCCCTGAGTTGCAATGTCCCCTTGATTCTTAGTATAGGCTATTTGAAGGAGTTGAAAAAGAAAAATTAAAGAATAGAACCAATCCATACTATAGTGATAAATTAAATTACCAAGCCAGAGTAATTTGATCCAGTCCCATTGATTCCCAATGTTCATATTTTAGGACTGATGTCCTTTGATAACCATGTTCCTTTAGTTTGCATGATTGGCATGTGCAATGCCTGTGTGCATAAAGTTTTACTCTGTATGTAACTGCACCACAAGCCAATGTTTAACAACCATTGCCTACATCCACTCCAAAAATGCTGAAAAATTGAGGAAGAAAAACATGTCTTTGTCCAACCAAGGAAGGATATATAATGAGGAAGCAGGGAAAAAAACCCAAAACAGCTGGATAACAGAATTGATCTCTCTTTGCAGTAAAGGAAAATGTCTTGATATCTCAAGACGGTGTAAAGTTCTCCACAAGAAGGGTTAGTTTCATCCAGTACATAGATAAAATAAACAGATTTTCTAAAAAAAAAACAAAACACATTTCTAACACATCATTTATTTCCCTGAATATTGTAAGAGATTGAAATTAGAAGCAATCCCTTGTAGCACTTGAATAATCAAGTTTTGCTCTTTTATTTTGACTCTTGGCAATTTGGGCCAGTTTAATATCAAATCATTACGATTCAACTGCCACCATAATATTATAGAAATGTAAAAATATTGGTAAAAATCTAGAAAGATTTATCCCTGCGGAATAAGCCCTGAAAGTGGTGGAAGATACTACCACTTTTACTACTACTATTGTGCCATTTGCTCTCCCCACCCCACTCCAATATAGTGACTGCTATATTATTGGAAGAGAAAAATCAACGTTTTAAAAGAAGGCATTGAAACCACAGGGAATAGAAGCCTAGGATAAACCAATGTTCCTCTATGAGGCAATTCTATGTGATTCATTTTTCTCTGTAGCTCTTATTGACTTCCTAGTCCCAATGTATCAGTGTAATGGCCTGGAGTAAGCAATCTGTACATGACTGCCAATTCCCGCTAGTATAAAAATGAGTGGCACCACTCCATTGATATAAGAAAGCCGTCATAATAACAGGACTTGCCGGATGCTGATCACCCAACTATTGAATTATTTCACTAATATGATTTGATGGTACCATTACCATTTATATGAAGAGAAAATAAGCATAATACTGCATTACTAGATGGTTTGTCACTTTGAGAAGTTATGCAATTCTGCAATCTTCACAATCAGTAATAACAAATGAGGGTGATATTACCATGGGAATGCAGCATTTAACTACTTGTGTCATGCATATTCTGACATGAAACTGTGATAGTTGCATGACAATATCTTCATGCACTTATTCTAATCCCCTCCCATTACTTATTTTTACATTCATCTGAGTTTTTTGAGCTTAAAGCTAATATCTTCCGAAGTGTATTCATGCCATTAACATACCCGATATGTTGATGGACCCCAGAATCAGTTATAATCTGTCTCATTATTCTTAAAGGAACTATATTACAAATTGCTCTGTATCAAAGTCAAAACATTTTCCAAACTGTTACAAGGAAGACAATCCTTTCATTGGATCTGAAATGGTAGAATTTAGTTCAATTATGATATAAATGGAGCAAACATTTGGGATAGGAATTTGGAGCATTTCAGAAACAACTCTGAACTTGTGCAATCTTATATAGGCAGTCCTCAATCTATGACCATTAGTTCAGTGACCATTTGAAGTTGGATCAGTCTCAAAATTATGGCTGCAGCAGCAGCCCCAGCAACCAGGGATCTCACTGAACAGGGCATGTGCTGAAAAAATGAGGGAGGACTATTTTTATTCCTTCAGGTAGAGTCTGTGCATGAAGATTTTTATTCTTGCAGATTAGCTATAAGGGTCAAGAATTTGATCAGATGAGATGGTTTGTACTTCCCTATAATCAGCTATTTTGTAGAGTAAACTTTTAGTAGTCTATGATATTCCTTATAGATTTTCCATATTTTCAGGGTGGTGCAAAGAAAGTTGATTACAAGTAATTTGAGTTTGTTTGTGAATTTTTTCACATGAAAAATGAAGATATTAATCCACTTAATGAAATGTTACCCACTTAATGAATTTTCTAAGTACTGATAAGTAATGATTAAGTGGAATTTTATATCCTAGATGAACAGGAACTAACTATCAGTTCCTACTTTCTTTAGCACTTGGTTTTCTTGGGCAAAGATAATGGGTAGATTTCTAAAATAAAGAGCACTTTAAACAAAATAGTGCATTTTCCAGCTTCATGAAAAAGAACAACTCATCAAGGTTGTGTGAAAACCCTACAGCAGGGATGACTCACTTGGAACAAATGGTGAAAAGCCTTAATGCTTGAATTCATGACATGAAAATCAATGAGAATTTTTCTTCCTCATGAATTAAACTAGAATTGTGCTATTAGTTCAGAACCTAATGGCTTCATTAGAACACCAGCAGGAAGTAACACGTATAAGCAGTTTTCATGATATCTACAATAAATTAAAAATATCACAAATAGCACTAATGGAAGATTATTGCAGCCATACAGAACTGAAGTCCTGCCAATATTATAATGAATTCTACATAGATAGCTAGCAGACCTTTTTACACACTCTCTGGGCTTACTTACTTTAAGTGCTAAGTTCTGTAATACTAACAATAAGAGTTTGATTACAGGAGGAATGCAAATATCCCAGAGCCACTTGCTTTTAACTCAAACCACATACGCCATGTACATGTTAGACGTGAATAAAACTTATCTGATTTCTTAACTTCACATAAAATCATCTTCAGATTTTCTTCAAAGCTGAAAAACCACCATCATCATAACATTATTAGATACTGCTACATAATAAGTACCAGCCTAGTCTCTGAGATTTCAAAGTAGAAAAATTGTGATTCTAATAAACTTTTTAACTAAACATGATATAATAGTTATTGTAGAGTGAGATAGTCCTCAAAAACCTGATGGGTTTTCTTTGGTTTATATAGCAATAGAGACAGCAGAAGTAGGCAATGTTACTATTGGATGAATCTGGTTGGATAGTTACAATTCTAGCAGCTGCCTAAGGATATTGCGAGTCAATCTTAATAGTCCTAGATGTCTGCAATTAGCTGGCAATAAGACTTCTGGATAAGTCAGGAATGAGAAGAATTATGTGCACTTCTGGACATGTAAAAACCTCTCAGAATTACTGGGAAGATATACATAGTCCCATCCAGAGACTTTTAGAAATTACATTTGAAATTAAATCAGTTTTTAAAGTAGATATAATTTCAGAATATATTAACAAGAAACATTATAGTTTACTGAACTATATGCTCACAGCTGCAAGAATAACCTTTCCCCAATATTGGAAGAAAGACACAAAACTAAATGATATCTGATTGGGATCTTAAACTTGAAGAATATGAGCTGAAGAAAAACCAACAGCATATATCTGCAACAGAAGTTTAACCAAATTCAATCAAGAATGGTTTCCATATACACAATGAAGCAAGCAGCAAAGCAAATATGAACACTAACATGATGGATTCTCAGAGGGTCTAAATATTTATAAATACTGCAGATCAATTGGTGAATAAAGAAGGGGGAATCAGAACTCAAACACTTATCTACTGTCCAAGCGGCTTCTTTTTTCCTTTTCCTTTTTAAAACATTTATAAACAATAATAAATAACAGTACAGCAAAGACCTTAGTATTAAACATTAGAAAATGGAAAACTTTTTTATATAATAAAATAACAATGCATTTGGCATTTGTCTATTAATGCCATGCTGAGCTTCAATTGTACAATTCAAGCAACCTTAAATTTATTAATGTTTTAGAAATAAAACATATATGTTTGATATATTTTTTTCCTATTTTTAAAGATTTAACTTACCTAAGCCATAATAATGTTAACAATGTCTAGTAGCATAAAGTACTACTGTATCCAGTTAATATATGTATGTGATAATGCATTATTCTCATCTTAAAATGAAATAAACATTACTTGAAAAAAACAACAACTATGCGTACTCCTGATTGATTATCAAAGTGGTTCTTTCTGGTTTCGGCTCATTAGTCCCAGTTTTATCTGTTCAAGACATTGACCTTACAGACCCAGAAGGGGAGAATAAATATTTAGTCCTAAACTTTTGATCTGTCCATGGTTCTAGCCTGAGTTAATGATCTCAGTCATTATAAAAAGACCCATCCTTACTATTTCATGCTTCAAATGGGATTATCATTTTGGAGTTGTGGGGTATATACATTTTGTTTGCTCCCTATACTTTCTCCCACCTGCTACTCCATAATTTGGCTACAGGTCTGTATACCATGTGCTTTGCTTTCAAAAGCCCTAAATTCCATTTCTGGGCACTGTGATTAAGAAACTGCTCAGTTGTGATAGGAGAGCTGCTGTGTGAATACAACATCTGAGCAGGCAGGATAAATTATTGCCTCATTTGATATAAAAGAAGAAACTTATGTTGTGTTATCAATGAAACAGAAAGAGACTAGCCCGGAAAAAAATCTGCATCTACATTACTACAGGATGCTTTTTCAAAAGTATAATCAAATCAACCCCCCAAAATGTCAGGGGCACCCCCTGGCCTTTAATTTTTGATATTTTCAGTGGTTCTACTGGCAGTGAATATACTATACAGAACCATTTCATGTTAAAAGCTCTAACAATATGGGACAAAGGGAACTTTGAACTGATACAATTCATCTAATGGAAGGTGTATGTTATTAATTGAATGGATCTGAGGCTTGCATTAGGCTAACTGAATCTACAGAATGGGGAGGAAGGGAATACAGACTCATTCCAAAGGTTTGGGAATCAAAGGTGGTTTTGTTAATGATGCAAGTATAGAAAAGCTTTCAAGTGAAAGAATTAATCTTAAGAGACTCAAGGTTACCAGTTCAGATAAGCTAAAGTGCCAGATAAAGCAAAAAAAAAAAAAAAGTGCTGTTACAACAATGAAATATTTCCCTCAGCATATTCACAAAACCTGCACTCAG